AATAATTAATTATTAATATTTTGCTTGAATGTAAAATTTAATGTTATAAAGTTAAAAGTTATAAATTAAAAAAAAAAAAATTTTTTATTTAATGTTACAAAAAAAAAAAAAAAATTATAATTATTTTAAATCAAAAATTTATTGTTTGACTAAAAATAAATTATTATAAAATTTATTTATTTATTTATTTATTTTATTTATCTAATCCTTATTTATTTATCTAATCCATTTTTAATCTACATTTAATCCTAATCTCTCACGATTGTCTTTCCCGTTGTTATTTTTTTTAAATAATTTTTCCCCCCCCCCAAAAAAAAAATTCTGCAACGTTTATGTAACGCATATTTTAATAATAATAATAATAATAATAATAATAATAATAATAATAATAATAATAATAATAATAATAATATTTTTTAATAAATTCTAATGTGTTAAACCGATCGTTTTTTTTATTTTTATTTCTATTCTTGGAATATGAAACCGATGATTAATATTTTTAATAACTTTTTAACACGCGATTTGTTTTCTTTTTTTTTTAATTTAAAATTTGTTACCGATTTAATTTTTTTTTAAAAAAAATCTTATTTAAATTTTATCCTTTTAAAATAAAAAAAAAAAAAAAAGTACTTGATTGAAAATGATTGAAAAAAAAAAAAGATGAGTTTTATTTTAATAATTATTTTTTTTTTTTAAAAAAAATTATTAACAGAAATTACATAAATATTATTAAATGATGAATTTTTAACACTTTCAAATAATTAAAAACAAATTATTATTATAATCAATAATAATAATAATTAAAAACCAGCACCATTTGGGGTTAATTATAAAAATCTTTTTAAAATATAAGAGAAAATATAGAAAAACTAAGAAAAGAAACTAGACTGATGGCTTATATATATATATATACGGTTAGTTATTCAATAATATATTTAGTTTCTACATCACCACATAAAGCGATTCCTTCAATTTCAACTTTTGCTCCAACAGGAAGTTTACCCACTTGGTAAGCTGAACGAGCTGGATGATCTTTAGTTATATCTATCGAATAAAAAAAACAAACAATTTAATTTTTTTTTTTTTTTAAAACAGTTAATTTTTAAGTATTAAAATAATTATTATTATTATTTTTCAACTTACATTGTTTATATATTTCATTGACTTTTGTAAAATCGTTGATATCGTTTAAGAAAACCGTTGTTTTTATAACTGGAAGAAAAAAACAAAAAAACAAAAAATTAATTTGGTTATTAATTATTTTGTCGAACATGATGTACTATTGCTACCATGTAATAATTAATAAAACTTTTCGATAATCTTTTTCTTTTACAGGAAAAAAAGTTATTCTTTTCTTTTTTGATGTTATACTAATAAAATTTAAAATAATAAATAATAAAAATGGAGTAAATGAACATTTAAGCACTAAGAAGAATGAATATTTCTTTTCTTATAATGTCTGCTCGAGAATAAATATCAAATTTGTAATTTTTGTTGGGTTTGCGATGAAATGAAATAAACATGGCCTAAAAAGCCTTAACAATTTCTTAAATTAATCAAGGTCAAATGATAAAAGATAGTTACGCTTATCAAATCCCGAACCGGCCGCGTTCAAAATTATTTCCATATTTTTCATAACTTGATGAGTTTCATTTTCTACGCCACCACCAACCAATTGATTTGTGTTTTTGTCTAACCCAATCACGCCAGATAAATAAACAACATTGTTCACTTTAACCGCTTGGCTGTGAAAAAATATAATTAAAAAAGGTAATTCTTTTATTTTAAATTTGATTAAATAAATAAATAATTTTATTTAAAAATTTTTTACTTACTTGTAAGGACCTACAGGGTTAGGACCTTTCGATGATTGAATTATATAACGTAAAGTTTTTGACATATTTGCGAAATAAATAAAAATGACAATTCAAAGTATTGTAATAATTTTTTAAAACATTAATTTATATATAAACTGATAACAAGGTCAAATTCTAATTTTTATTCACACTTAAAAATTTTTTTTTTTTATTTCCAAGTTAACATCAATTTCGATTGCTTCTTTTAATATTTTAATTTTATAATATTTCTTAATAATATTTTGGAATCTGTAAAAAAAAAAAAAAAAAAAAAATTTATATAATTATTTATCTAATTAGTAAAATTGTAATAATAATAATCAAGTTTTGAAATTTATTGATTGTTGTAAGAACTTGAAACAAATGTAATAATGAATTTTTAAATAAAATATATATTTAAGGTATTACCTTGGTTTTAAGGCTCAAAAATGCAGTTCTGAAAACATTTGCATCCTTTTCAGAGTTCAATTCCAATAATGCTTTATTAAGAAGTATGCCACTAAATTCTTGAAAGCATATCTCTTCCCACAGCTTTGTATCTTTACTTATGAATGCATAAAAATAAGTACAAGTTGAAGATAAACATTGAACACTTTTCGGATCGTTTTTTAAATAGTATACAATTTTCTTCTGGATTTCCTCGGGAAGGCACAAAAGATTACCACAACAACTTTCCTCCTCTACAGTTAAAATTGAATCTTTAACATGAATTGCAACTATTGTTTTTAATTAGATAAGACGAATTCTTTTAAATTTCTTAAAATATATTTGTGATCGGAAGGTTTGTATTTATTCTACATATTTTCAGTATCTAAACATAATGATTTTATGACATGGGAAGGTTTCCAAAGAAAATTAATTATAAGATGAGGACTATGTTCAGCAGATGGTACTCCTTGTAATTCACAGATCCCTGAGCTGTAAATAATTATGCTTTTAAACAAAATGTTTTTTCAACATACTCTTATATAATATCATTTAGAAAATTTAGTAACCTGTAATTTCCTAGCTTCAATGGAATTTGATAAAAAAAGTATTTCGTCTTATTTGAACGCTTGGGAATTCTTATATTATCTTTACAATAACTTTTCACGAGACGCAATTTCCTAATATCAAAACTTGTCGAGTCGATACTTAAAGTATCAGACAATTCAATTGGAGAAAAGCCGGTCTCCAAAATTAAAAAATAAACTGCTGCAAATAAATAATCATTTGCACCAAAAGTTTCTGCGTAATCTTTAACGCAATTGTCTAAAAAAATTTGAAAATGTTGAGGGTAGATAGAATTAAAACTGTCACAAACTTGCAATATTTTATCCATTTTTTTTTAGTTTTTAGTACAATTTCATTATACGCTTATTCATGCTTTTACATTAAATAAATAAACTATTTTTGACTTACTACTTTAATTTTAATTTAACAGAAAAAAACTTTTATTTGTATATTATTACTTGCATTTTTAACAATTTTATACAAGGTGTTACAGCCTTCTAATAATGAGTAAATATTCCCTCCAAAACATTTTTAAATATGGCGATTGTAATGTAGTCTGCTACAATATTTTAATCAAGTAGATATTTTACAAAAATAGTTTTTTTTTTTTTTTAATAATGGAATAATTTTAATTGTTTAATAATAATATTAAAATTAAAAAAAGAGTTTAACGGAAATGCTAATGCCAATTTTTTTTCAAAAAATTCAAACAAAGTTACAACATAGTCTGAAAAATCCACATTTTAAATATGGATTACCTTTTTTATCATTTGTTTTTATAGGATGGTATATTTTACAAAACACACAAGCTTGTCGATTTGATTTATCTAATCAGGGAAGTCTTACTCGGAAAGAATTACAAGCTCATGGTTTTAATGTACCTGATAGTATCGCTCCAATCGAAGAAGTTTATGAAGAAATGAAAGATGTAGCAAAGAAGGATTGGGAAAACATTAGAGTACCAAGACCTTGGGAAGAAGAACCTTCAAAAAATTAATGTAGTACCAAATTAGTTTTAAATCAATAAAGAGTAGACAATTAAATAAGAACTTACAGTTTTAAATTGAACAAATTAATTTAATATGGAGCTGATCTGTTCAGTTCAAAAATATCACTGGGGAAGCAAAGGTAATGAAAGCCTTGTAGGAAAATTTGCAGAAGCTAATTCAAATTTGAAAATAAATTCAGATGAATCATATGCTGAATTTTGGATGGGAACTCATCCAAGTGGACCATCTTATTTAAAAAACAACAATTTGGAACTATCTGCATATTTATCTAGTAACCCAGAGGCATTAGGAACAGAAGTTATAAGTAAATTTGGAAAAAATTTACCTTTTTTATTTAAAATCTTGTCTGTTGACAAACCTTTATCAATTCAAGCTCATCCAACCAAATCTTTAGCTGAAAAGCTTTTTATTCAAAATCCTGACCTTTATAAAGATAGCAATCATAAGCCAGAAATAGCAATAGCTGTTTCAAAATTTGAAGCTCTTTGTGGATTTAGACCGAAAGTAGAAATTCAAAAATTTCTTAAGGAAATAGATGAATTTCATTTATTAATTGAAAAAGATAAACTTTTTGAATTCTTAAATACCCCAAACGATGATAACTTTAAGGAATGTTTCAAATCGTTAATGAGCAATCAAGATAATGTAGTTGCAAAAGCTACAGGTAATTAATTAACATAAAATTATATTTCCTTTTTTCTTTTGTTTAACAATTAAAATTTGTAATTAAACAACTTTTTTTTTTTTTTTTAGAAAGTCTTATTCAAAGACTGGAAAAATTAAATGACAAAGAAATTTATCTTTATAGTTTAGTCCGGAGAATTCACTCATCATTTCCAAATGATGTTGGCATATTTTGTGTTTATTGGCTTAATTATTTGGTTCTCTCCCCTGGGGAAGCATTATACCTAGCTCCCAATGAGCCTCATGCATATTTAAAGGGGAACTGCATAGAATGTATGTCTAATTCAGATAATGTAGTTAGAGCGGGATTAACACCAAAATTTCGGTACCTTTTTTTTTTAGGTTCACTAATAAAAATGTGTTCAATAAAACTTAAATATTAAATTAAAATGCTTATTGAAAATTTTTTTGTTTTGTTTTTAGAGATGTTCAAACTTTATGTAAAATGTTAACATATAAAAATTATTTACCTCAAGAAATTTTATTTTCACCACTCGTAGAAGATGACTACACTTTATTGTACTCCCCTCCTATAGATGATTTTGCTGTTGCTAAAGTAACATTACCAGAAAATTGCCAGTATACATTGAAAACTAGACAAAGTGCTTCAATACTTCTAGTTTATGAAGGATGTGGAGAATTCGATTCAATCGCTTTAA